TTTACGTTACGTATTATGTTTATAAGTCATCTTTTGTTTGAATTGGTGAGAACTATTTTTTCCTCTTCATTTTGTGATAAGAACGTCAACACACTTATACGGAGAAGTGTAGGGGATGCATCTGTTATTTCATCTTCCTATCTATTTCAGATTTCCGCGAGAACTTCTTGCGCCATAAAGATGACTCGCGAATCCACAGGTCGATAAAGTATAGGTCGGTAAAGTAAAAATTGAAAGAAGCGCGTTTCCACGTGCTAGATGTGGTTGGGGAATAAAGCGAGGAGAATCCCCTAGAACGGTCCGGACAATGCGGACGGGTGGGGGTTGCGATCGAGTGGAAGGGGTCGCACGAGCGTGTAATAGGAATGAGGGTGGGGAGGTTATCCAAACTTGTCAAAGCAGCTCTGTCTCGCTTCAATTCGCTCGCCCGCCGCAACCCCTCCCCTTAGCCGTAAAGAAACTGGCAACATTGCAAATTGATCAGAACACCACGCGGCCGTCGTGCATGGTGGGAGTTTACCCGGGGACGACGCGCATGCGTACTTTAGCCGATCTGCTCACCGCGTGTTCACCGCTCGTTACTGACTGCATTTCCACATTTCGTTTTAACGCATGTGTGTGCGCGCGCACACGCACGCACACAAATTTGCACACGTATATAACAGAAAATTTGTCATATAAAATAAAAATTTTTTTTTAAATTTCTTACATCGCAGTTCATTCAATTGCATTACATTACTTATATAAAAATAAAATTGTTATTACATGTCCTTTTCTGTGTAACATATAATGTGGGATATAGTAGACTTATTCTAATCACATATTATTTTGAAATACACTCAATTTTTCTCTTGATCATGAATCATAATTATATAAATTGAGTTTTCATAAATTAAAAAATCTCAATTTTTGTTACATTCAAACTTAGACTAAAATTGCAGAAATAAACTATATTCAGCCTATATCTATTCTATATCCTTATCTCTGAAGAGTAGTTAACGTCTGCAAATTTAAAAGTTTTGCTAATTAAAATTGCAATAACGGATTTATCTTAAAAAAATAAAAATTAATTGTTTACGTATAATAAATATACGTGTACGTGCGTCATATATTAATCTGATGTTTCCCTAGTTATAATTTTGTTATTTAAATGATGATTTAAGAAAACTCATAAGAAATGCATATGTGAGGTTTTAATGTCTATATCTGTCTTTCGATATCACGTTTCATGATTGGTCAATATGTTATTACTTGATAATAAAAGGATTAAAAATTTCAATTATCTATGGAAAGATTCAATATTGCACATTTCTCGTTGTAAAAATAAATGAAGCGAGTAAAGGATGATATCAAATCTCTCTTTCTCTCTTTCAATATTTGCATAGTGCAGCGTAAAACGTGGAGAAAAACAGACGTATTACGACGTTATAAAGTGAAATTGCATCCCCTTCAGCCGCGTGCACGATAGATAGTCTTAAATGGTCGTTTAACACATGTAGCCTGTTACATCAGGTATAATCACGCGTCGTCGTGCCTGTACAACACGCGCACCAGGATAAGAGACCGGATGTACGAAGATAGAGAGCAAATTACGGCGTTTAAACCATCCGCATTACGGTCAAAGTTGTGCGAGCGAGAGCGATACTGGCAAACTTTTCCGTTCCAGACGAGAAAAAGAAGATTATTCCTATCAACTATGTGATAATGCGATAATGATTCATAAAATGAAGACCATGCCATAGTCCGTAAAATTTCTCTCTCGCTTTATGCATTATCAGTCGTAGTTTATTGTCTTACGCACGACAATTTCTAGTAAATATATCTACGCGATAATATCGAAAGATTGAAGAAACGGAGGAAGAGAAAGACAAGAGTAACAGCTGCGCATACGAGTAGATGGCGCGCTCATGAATGAAGCGCGAGTGTCCACCGCGCCGTAGTTTCAGAGTCAGTGACCGGGTCGCCCCCTCCACTCCTACCTTCGTGTAACGACTGAACACGCGCACGGTACCCGGATTTACCGCCCCCACCATTGCCCCACCATCGTGACCATGCCGCCGCATCACTACTACGGTCACCATCGGTGCTTTCTCTCCCTCCCCTTCGCCCTCGGTTTCGCGCCGTTTTCCCTCCCTACATCGTCCGTGACGATTCCTACAGCTCTCTCCGTCCCTCATCCGAGTTGCCCGACTTCCGTCACCCTTCACAATCCCCCTCCCCCTCCCCTCCCTCCCGCCGTCGATAACTCTCTCCCTCCCATCCTCTCTCTTCCTCCCTCTCTTCTTGTCTCATTCCGCATGCAAGTGGTTCGAACGCACGCGCACGTTAATTCCTCAACAAGCAGAAAGATGCGAAGCTCACGGCGAGTTAGTCGGATCCTTTATATTTCCTTCATATATCTCTTTCGCTTCGCTTCGTGTCTCGTCGTCATCCAATGATTAAAGCCTATTCTCTTCTTTCGCACGATCCCTCCTTTTTTTTGTCTCTTCCCCATATCCTTGCGAATTCTCCGCGATGCATTTTCGCACACGGCTGACTACATCACGAGAAAGGGAAAATTCCATCATCCTTGGTGCTTTCAAAGAATAGTGATAATAAGCTTGACTTACTGGTGATTGCATCTTATAAAGGAAATTGGAATGGAAAAATTCATATCATACGTTTAGTGATTCTCGCGGCATTATCTATAGGATAAAGAAATTTTTCGTCTTAATTAGTCTCGGCAATTTTTGCCGAGATTTTTGCGAGATAAGGAGGAAGCGAAAGAAGAAATAATTTTCGCACATGTTCTACATACGTCTCGACAACTTTCCTTGCACGATTTTCAAGAACACGTCTCACAGGATTGGCTGTTTGTTAACCCGGAAAAACTTCCCTATTGGTAGTAACCGAAAGAATAGGACACCAATCATTTAGTCAGTTTCTTATTTACACAAAGATTCAAAGACAGTATCGATTGGTCGATAAACCGATAAATTCTATTTAGGGGCGGAGTTAACACAAACCACATAAAAATAACGTTTAACCTGTTGTGCTATACTCCATTTTGTGACAGTTAAAAGGAAGGGAAAGAAATACCTCCACAGAAACAGAGCCAATGCAAGGCCAAGGTAGGCTAGTCAAAACCAGTTGTTCTAAAACGTATGGTGTTCTTGGTTTTGTGTGTGTGTGTGTGTGTGTGTGTGTGTGTGTGTGTGTGTGTGTGTGTGTGTGTGTGTGTGTGTGTGAAGGTGGAGGGAACGTCTTCGTTACTTTCTCTCCATGTTCGAGATGATTGAGAAACACTGCCATGAGGTAAATCATACCTAATTTGGAGGCGGTGAACGCGTGGTCATCGCACGCAACTGTATCAGTGCTTCTCATTCAAAGCAGACGTGATTATCAACATTGTGTATTTTCAAATTTACATAAGAGGGACCACGAACGAGAGAGAGGGGGGGGGGAAGAAAGGATATATTCATTATCTCACTTAATCGAATCGATATCTCGTAATAAAATTGAAATTAAAATTTTTGAGCAAAGATTATCAGAAAAAATGCCTTTCAGAAAAAGGTTGTATAGATATCTTTCAAAAAATGGCAATATTTCGCAGTTACAATTCCTTTTATTGATGTTATACGTAGATATCTTTATCTAATCTAATCAAGTAAAAAAAGCGCACGTAGAGTATCACCTTCTACACTACGATTTTTATTTACAGATGTAAAATAAAAGACAGCATTGTTTGTGCGCATTTCACTTATTTGTTGCTTTCATAGTATTCAATTGAGGAAAGATAAAAATACTTAAAATAATGTTTTGCAGACGCATTTTATATAGTTTCCCAATTTAACATATAATCCATCGTGTAATGACTCAATCGATATTTTTACATTTCGAAAGAGACATTAATTATTAATTGTTATCAGCAGATTACTCACTGCGTTCACGAGACTACTGTCACGGTAGAAAAATATATAAGTAATTTGATAATGCAATGACACAGTGAAGGCTTTTACGGATTATTTGTCTGTATTGCGAAAAGTAGTACGACGGAAAACTACTTTGAAAAAGATCGCATCATTCATGCATACATTTATTGATATATTAACACATTGTAAAAGCATCATGTATTCGTTTCTTTCGAAAACAAAATTTAAAAGCAAATATTTAAATATATAATAAGAAAAATTCTATTTGATATACTTTTCTCAATAAAAAATTTCATAGAGGATTTTTAATCGATATGATTAAATTGATTACTGGTTAATTAGAAAATAGTTTTAGCTTTAGTTAACTACATTGTCTATGAAAAAATAACAGCATATAATTGATAAACAAAGCCTATTGAATTTAAATATTAATTATTGCAGGATCCAACCATGATAAAAAATGGCTATTTCATAGTTTTGTCTTAATATTTCAATTAATTTAATTTAATCTTTACGTTCAAAAATTATGATTGTATTTTACATACGTAAGTCATAACAATATTATATAAATATTCGTATAAATATTCTATTCTTTTTCGCGAAACTGAGCGTCATTCATATATGAGCGACATGGCAAGCAAGATGTTAAGCAGCTTTTCAGAAAAATCATCGGTTCGACCTCCGCGCACGAGCCATTGCATCTTATTGTGGTAACGTATAACGTAAAAGGTCGCCGGAGAAACGGCGCGTGGTACTCACCACGTGGCTCGCCAGAGGTGTAAGTGTGATTGGAGTGGGTCGGCGCAGGCGCAAAGGAGTGCTGGTCGCAAGAAGAGGAGGAGGACGAAGTGCTCGCCAGGCGCTCCCGCCTCTTCTCTTCCTGTTGTTCGACATAGTAGGCCGCTTGCAGTAACGTTTCCAAGCTCATCCTGCGGCGAGTTTGCTGCTCCGTCGTGGTGAGCGCGGAGGGGGGAGGGATGCGTTGGTGATGATGGCGGCGATGTTGCTGGTGCTGCTGCTGCTGCTGCGCCGGATCTCTGTGCTCGCGAATACCCGCCGGATGGTCGTTCTGACTCCGCCGCATCGAATTACCGGCGTCGCGGCAGCAGCGAACACCGACGCCACAGTCGCAGCCGCCGCCGCCGCCGCCGCCGCCGTCGTCGTCGTCGTCGTCGCTCCCGGACGCCGGCAATGAATCGGCAGGAGTAAGTCGCAGACACTCGATTCCCGCTTCCCTGCCCTCACCCCTCCTCCTTCGACGCTGCTAGCCGCCGCGTTGTAAGCTGCATGCGGGAAAAACGAGTCGGTTAGCGAACGGGCATTTATTCATATCGATAATATCGGATGAGACTAACTCGTTCTTCTCCCTCAACGTTATTTTTAAAAGTCTTCTTATACTCCACAATAAACATTCGGTCAGTCACGAGAAACTTTTCGGAGCAAGCGAATGACGAGAGGAATAACGAAGAAGCTCGATTGCTAAACTCAAGATCGAGAGAGAGA